GGACAAAAGAATCTGTTGTATGGTGGGAAGGGCATTACTGATAGGGGGAATCAGGGAAGGCTTCCTGGAGGAAGGGACCCTTGAACTTTACTTTAAAAGTACCCAATAAAGGAATGAGTGAGGCAGTGAGTTCCCAGTCACATGAAGTGTTCAGGCAAGGTCTGGATAACCAACTGTTAAGAAAGCTATAAGAAGGAACTGTTCACAGTGTGGGAGGTTGACATAAGATGAATGCACATCAAAAGACGCTTATGAAACCCAAAGGCTGGGAATGGTTTTACCAGGAAGAAAGGCCCTTTGCAAACAAACCCACCTTGGGCTGGGCTCCAGGAGTGAGAAATGCAGCAAAGTCCAAGAAACAACATGGTTGTGGAGCAGGAAGGGACCTCAGGAACTAGCTAGCCAACTCTCTCATTACACAGAAGAGGAAACTGAGGCTCCAAGAGATTATAACTTGTCCAAGGTCACAAAACTATTAAGCAGTAAAGGTAGGGTTTGAACCCAGGTCTTTTACATGTAGGGCCAGAATGCTTTCTAGTGTCCAACCCTGTCTCCTACAGAACCCCATCCCATCCAGGCAATCAATCGAGAAACATTTATTAAGCATCTACTATGTGCCAGGCACTGTGCTAAGCACTGGGGATTCAAAGAGGCAAAAGACAGTCCCTGCCCTTAAGATGGGGCGGCTAGGTGGCACCATTGTGCACAGAGCACTGGGCTTGGAATTAGGAAGACCCATCTTCCTGAGTACAAATCTGGCCTCAGACCAGACTAGCTGTGTGACCTTGGGCAAGTCACTTAATCCTGTTTGCCTCAGTTTCCTCATCTGTAAGATGATCCGGAGAAGGAAATGGTAAACTGCTCTAGTATCTTTGCCAAGAAAACCTCAAAGGGGTCATGAAGAGTCGTACATGACTGAAAGGACTTAGCAACAAGCCTTCAAGTTGCTTACAGTCTAGCAGGGGAGATAACATGCAAAGATTATATATAGACTACAAGCTACACAGTGGATAAATAGGAGATAATTATCAGAGGGAAGGCAGTGGAATTAAGAGGGATTGGTTTTCTGTACAAGGTGGAATTTTAATTGAGACTTGAAGAAAACCAGGGAGGTCAGTAATCAGAAAGGAGGAGGGAGAGCCTTCCAGGCATGGGGGACAGCCAGAGAAGATGTCCGGAGCTGAGAGGTAGAGGGTCTTGTTTGTGGAACAACCAGAAAACCAGTATCACTGGGCGAGAGAGGATGTGGTGAGGACCAAGGTATAAGAAGGCTGAAAAGGTAGGAGGGGGCTAGGTTATGAAGGGCATTGAATGCCAGAGCATTCTGTATTTGATCCTGGAGGCAATAGGGAGCCATGGGAGTTTATTGAGGGGTGGCAGTGACATGGTCAGACGTTTGTTTTAGTAAAGTCACTTTGGTGGCTGAGTGCAGGATGGGCCAGAGTAGGAAGAGACCCGAGGCAGTCAGACTCCCCCAGCAGCTTTTGCAATAGTCCAGGTGTGAGGTGATGAGAGTCTGGACCAGGGTGGGGACAGTCAGAGGAGAGAAGGGGGTGGCTATTCATCCCACAGGTTCTCTGTATGCTGTAAGCAGGACTGGGAGCCAGCCATCTCTGGAGCCCCAGGTACCTCTGGTCTCTCCTTATCGATGCTAATAGGATGCAGAAACTGGTGTACAGGTAAGCTGAGAGGAGTTGCCTGCAAAGAAATGTGGGTCAAAAGGAGCTATTGAATGTCTGGGCCTTTAGCAGAGAGCAGCCACCTGGGATTACCTAGCCACACCAAGATGAGCAAGGACACTTTCTTACTGAATCTAACCAAGACAGCACTCAGCCCAGGGCCTCTCCCAAGGCAGATGTTTAATAAATATTTGCTAAATTGAATGAATTTGAATCCAGTCCACGAGAATGACAGCTCCTTGTAAGTAGGGGATTTTTCCCTTTATTAGATTGTATCTCCACCACCCAGCACAGGTGCCTGGCTCACAGGAACCACTTAATGATCCTTAATTGGAATTCTGCACATGGGCTCTGTGACCTTGGGCAAAGTCACATAACTTCGCTGGGCCTCAGTTGCCTGATCTGCAAGGAGAGATGATTCTATGGGCCCAACTAAATATCTTATCAGGATCAAATGAAATGTTGGGGGTCATTTATTTTTTTGGTAAGGCAATTGAGTTTAATTGACTTGTCCAGAGTCACACAGCTAGTAAGTATCACGTGTCTGAGGTCACATTTGAACTCAGGTCCTCCCGACTCCAAGGCCAGAGCTCTATCCACTGCACCACCTAGCTGCCCCTAGCTGGGAGTCATTTAAAAGTACAAGATGAGGGGAAACATGAGGCCCATGAGGTCCATGAGGGCAAGGACTGTCTTTTATCTTTCTTGGTATTCCCCAGAGCTTAGCACAGTGCCTAATATAGACCTGTTGCCTTATCGCTCTGCCTGCCACATAGTTGCTTCATAAATATTTGTTGACTGACTATGGGAGGATATTAATTTTTAATGAAAGAGAGAACTTACTCTCAGATGAAGAAATTAAAGCCATCTATAGTCATATGAAAAAATGCTCTAAATCACTATTGATTAGAGAAATGCAAATCAAAACAACTCTGAGGTACCACATCACACCTATCAGATTGGCCAACATGACAAAACAGGAAAATGATAAATGTTGGAGAAGATGTGGGAAAACTGGAACACTAATGCATTGTTGGTGGAGTTGTGAAATGATCCAACCATTTTGGAGAATAATTTGGAACAATGCCCAAAGAGCTATAAAAATGTGCATATCTTTTCACCCAGTAATAGCACTTCTAGGGCAATACCCCAAAGAGATCATACAAAAGGGAAAAGGACCCACATGCACAAAAATATTCATAACAGCTCTTTTTGTGGTGGCAAAGAATTGGAAATTGAGAGGATGCACATCAGCTGAGGAATGGCTGAACAAGTTGTGGTATATGAATGTAATGGGATACTATTGTGCTATAAGAAATGATGAACAGGCTGACTTCAGAAAAACCTGGAAAGACTTGTATGGTCTGATGCTGAGTGAAGTGAGCCGAACCAAGAGAATGTTGTACACAATAACAGCCACATTGTGCGATGACTAATACTGATAAACTTAGCCCTTCCCAGCAATACAAGGATCTAAGACATCTCCAGAGGCCTTGTGATGGAAAATGCTATCCACATGCAAAAAAAGAACTATGGAAGTTGAATTGCTATTTTTTTTCTCTTCTGTTGAGTTTTGTTTCCTCTTTCTGGTGGTTCCTCCTATTGGTTCTAATTCTTACTTACAACATCACTAATATGAAAATATGTTTAATAGGAATGTATATGTGTAGCCTATATCAGATTATGTGCCATCTTGGGGAGGGTGGTGGGGTGGAAGGGGGAGAAAAATTTTAAACTCAAAAGCATATGGAAGTGATTATTGATAAATCAAAATAAATTAATAAAAAAAGAAAAAAAAGAAAAAAGTAAAAGAGAACTTAGTGTAGTGGATACAGGGTAGGCGTTAGAGTCAGGAAGACTTGGGTTCAAATCCTGACCCAGGACACATACTGGCTGTGTGTCCCTGGGCGAGTCACTTCTCAGCATCCCAGGCCACCCTTTAAGGGTGTTGTTGTTTGTCCTTCGTTTTCCAAGAGAACGAATGACATCATGGGTAATCTCTTGACTTGTGCATGAATTGGATTTAAGTGAGGCAGAGCTGGACAAATTTGCCAGCCTTATTCTCTCTGCCAGAGTTATCAAAGTGCAGTGGCAAAACAAAAGCCAGGATGACTGGTGATGGCCCGGGATGCAGTGGATGGCCTAAATAAAGTAAATGGAAACTGAGGCCAAAGATGGGACTTACCCAAAGAGACCCACGTGGCACAGCCAGAATCTAAACCCTCTCCTCTGCCTCCCAAAGCTTGTAATTTTTTTTAAATTTCATTTTTGCAGCTAGAAGGGACATCTCTCAGCTCATGCAGGAGTCCAATGTACAGCCTCCAGTCTCTGACTTAATTCCTCCATTGGCAGGCAGATCACTACCTCACTAGGGCAGCTTCTGCTCCTTCTAGGGAACTAGACCCATTTTCAGAGAGGAAGTTCTTAGGCTGAGCTTCTGTCAATCTCTTTCTTGCTCTCCTAGTCCCCAACACCCTCACTTTGCCTTCTGCAGGCCTGCCTCCCCCATCTACTACTTCCCTGTCTTCTCTAAGGCAGCGTGTGAGATTTGGGGGACAGCCTCTGGCCCCGACATAGATTTAATTTCCAATTTGGGACTCCAACCCATAGATCTGGTCCCTAGTCCCTGGGTGCTGCTTCTCCCATGCTCCCTCCTTCTTTCAGGTAACATCAGTAGCCTGATATAAGCCTGTGGGGTGTGTGTTGTAGCCTGGGGGAGAGGTCATACTGCTTCTACTACCACCCTCTTCTGGACTCTGGCAGAGAATCCGAGTCTACAGGATTTAGAGCTGGGAGGGACCTGAGACCTCATTTGGTGCCTCCCCATTCCGACCTCCCCATTTTTCAGAGGAGAACACTGAAGCCGCCCCCAGGAACCACAGCTGACAGGTTTGACCTCAAACACCTTTTATTTGGCTACTTGCTCCAAAGAGAAGAATCTGAGGAGGAAAACTGATGGCACTTGAGCAGGAAGGTGTGGGGTTCAAAGCAGCAGGAAGGAGCTGGAGGGGGGAATCCTGAGAATGGCAGCTCCGGCCAGGAGCTTCTGATTACTCATTAGTGTAGGCAAGGCTTGGCCCATGGGGGCTACTGGGAATGAGGGCAGGGCAGGGAGGACACCCAAGCCCAGGAGGAGGGACAACCCTTCACCTAAAAGGGGGGGGGG